TATAAATCATATTAAAAACGTGAGATTATTATTCCTAAATGAAATTAACATATAAATTAAAATAAAATAAAATAAAATTTTATATAAAAATCTCCTTTGCAAGCACATACATCTAGCCGCCTTTATTCTAACATGTAATAAAAAAAATATATCTACTTCCAGTCCTCTCTATACACATCATCATTCCAGTCTTAACACGCAATAGAATCATAGCCCTTGAAATTATTCATGAAACTTCTACAATAAATCCATCACAAGTGACTAATAACCTAACCCCCATAAATAACATTATCAACAACAATGCCCACCACACACTCTAATGAATTGATGGGCAAATGCCATATGGTCTCTAATAATTTATTTTACCACAATCAACCAACTTGCATGTCATATTTTCTCACCTATAAATACATCTCATCCTAAGGAGAACAAATCATGCGAAGACAGGAGAAAAGAGAGCGATCATATTGATGGCATTGAGGTGGTTTCTCCAGGCGACGGGCACGATGATCGTCGAAAAATCAACTGATAATGACGTTAAGACAGCATCAATGATGGACGGAAGAAAACTGTTCAAAGTAAGGAGTTTTGGGAGCGAGGGATTTAGGGTTCCGTTGCACTATCCGAGGTATAAGAAGGAGGATTATGAGAATATGGATGAGTGGAAGTTAGATATGTTGCTGAAAGAGTATGGTTTGGAAGTCGAGGGGACTTTGGATGAGAAGAAATCGTTCGCCATGGGAACATTTTTGTGGCCTGATCAATTTTAAGATATTTTTTTGTGTGTTGTTGATGTATCTTAGCTAATGGTTTCCATGCATTAGTTATGTATGATAGATTAGTCATAAGCATGAGTTTGGTAAGAAGTATTATCTTTTTGTTAATGTTGCATGTACATGGAGCAAGCACAAGTAAGATTGTCTAATTAGTATTTGCTATGATGGAGATAGCAATGACAATAAAGATAATATATGTTGATAATTGCAGGAGTATTGTTATTTTAATTTTAAATGATTGGTTTTATTTTCTTATCAAGTCTTTGTCATCAATAAAATCTTCTACCATCATATCTTAAGAAGAATAAATCATGTTATTTTCTCTTTTTGGAATAATCTAATTAAGTTATATGAAACATATTTTATTTCTATTTATTTTTTTTATTGAGGTTTAGTTTCGATGTAGAAGTTTTCACCTTGAATGATTTTTGGGTAATTATACATACATGACACTCAATTCTGATGTATTTACATATCTAATATCTAAAGATTTATATTTACATGCATGCCACTCAAATCTTCATTATCATATAAAAAATATCATAATCACTCTTTTTCAAAAATGAAATATTACGCACACACACACACATATACATATACATAAATTTAGGACAACTAAGATATTTTTGGAGCAGTTGCAGCTTATTAATAAAATTGTTGTGAAGCTGTTGAATAATAATCTGATGCTCAAAAAACAGCGGTGGTTATTATAAAAAATATGTATTTTTTAAAAGTCAGACTGCACCTAAAAAGCTGGCACCGTAGCTATCCAAGAGTGATGATAAAATGCAGGTTTCAGCGGCAGCTTTTTGAAAAAACTATTAAACTGCAGTTTATCCAAACAGATAAAACTACAATGTGGTATCACACCGCCACCTCAAAAGGACCCTCAGTTACAAGTACAAATATTAAATTTAAGCTGTTATATGTATATGGCAATGCATAAGAATTGTGTGGTTTGTATTTAAATTTCCCATGATTTTTTAATCTTGGAGGTCGCCCATCGTTGCCATTAATGCCTCAAGCCATATGGAGATTTAATTCCACCTCTTGAAAAGTCATATTTGCCCTCAAATTTTAAAAGATTGGACTTAAGACTAATATGCATGAATAAGGTAAAATCATAAAACAATTTGTTTGCTTTATGGTGACACTATAAAATGCAATGTTACTAAGGATTTCTTTCTCCTTACAATCCACAT